CCATCTTGTAGAGCTTGCTTTGCTCTATCAAAAGCTACCCATCCACTGCTTTTCGTGATGACTCTGTCGCGGAAGGATGCAGTGCGACATTATTTTCGTGACAACCTAATAATAGTGGATGAAGATTTTGATGATATGCTTTCATAAGCTCGTTTTTAATTCACAGACTCAAGGATTTTTTCCTTTTCAATTTGCATTTCGGACCTTTACAGGAAAGAAGCTGAAGATCGTCCGTACATATGGCAGTATGTTACATCTGCTTATTCTATTTATCTTGTGTTACATGAAACTAATTTTTAAATGTGCTTCATTCACTCCCTGCGACATTCAGTTAATCTAGATAAAACATATTGATTTACACATTAGTTTAGTTACATTCTTTTTCGAATGATGCATTCGGGGCAAAGCTTCTTGAGGGTACGTAGCGACCATGACGATAACATTGGATTGCCACGAATTTCCAGAGTCTTGGTTCCTCTATGGTAGATTAACGTTTTTGACATAGAGACTTCGCTTAGATATGGATTGCCGATGATTTTGATGGCGGGTTTACCTTGAAAAAAAAATCGGATTTTGAGAAGAAAAGAGATTGAAAGGACGCACCTGCTTGACAAGGTACCAGATGTCTTAGGTGCGGACATCTTAGAGAACGGAACTGTGATCCTTTGATTTCGATGCAGATTTCCATGTACACAGCTTTCGAACAAACGGCATTCATCTGTTCTTCCGAAACGGTATCACTATTCATAATCAGCATGTATCCTTCAGCGGGTTTGATGATGGCTTTTCCCGCACAAGCGGCAACCATTTCCGCATCCGAATAGTCCCTCTTTGTGAGTCCGCATCCTAAAGTTTTACCACCACTTTAATTTTCCTAAAATTCTTTTTCACTGCGACTTACCCAGATTTGCTGTAATCCTGCAGTTCCTGCAGAAACTCATATATTTCTTGATGAGGGCTGTACGCATGCGCGGCACTTCGCTAATTTCAATTATACGAGAGTTTCGTGGATAAAGCACGCTCGTAGGGAGCTCAAGAAGTTCAAAGTTCATGTTGTTGACGATTTTTATAGCCGGGCGTCCTGCAAAGAAAATCTTTGGATAGACAGTTGTAGCCCTCGCAAACACGGAAAGAACTTCCGCGAAGAAGTGAATCTACAATCAAAATGATACATAGATCGCGTTCAGAGTTGCCCGCGCCGTTCCAGCGCTGTGTTAGTGCCGTGTCGGCGGAGATCGATCAATATATTCCACATGGGCTGCGGCACGACGCT